ATCAAGGGCTTAGATTTCTCTAATCTAAACAAAATTAAAATTGAACCATAGATAGGGTTGTGTGGCCAGGATTTGATTGTTTTTTGATGGAATGAAATTGGGCCGTAGATCTAAGGAATGTGGCGGCTTAATTGGATTGCAATTTGTGATTGTGCTTTTATATAGATATAATAGATTTATTGTTTTTGTGGTTTGTTTTAGATCATAGTGGACATGCATTACAATATTGAAGTTGTATAAGGCGTTATTTCGCTGTGCTATTTTATTCTTAAATAAAGTCAAAAATGTCCCGTTCAAAAAGCATTAATTATTGTTATGAACTAGCTTGTATTAATTCTTCCGTACAAGTTTGTGTCACTAATCCTAGAAATATGGAAATTTTATTTTTTTAATATTTACATTTTCAGACAGATTTTGGTCTCTATTACAAATAATTCCAAGTGACATTTTTGACCGACTTTATACAAATAAGAGATTGAATTCCGTTTCTTTTCAAAGTTGTCTCATTTCCGTCTCCAATGAAAAGAGATGGAATTTTTTTCATCCCGAATGAAAAGAGACAAAATAAATGGGACAGATGAATTGGTATCTATTCTGTCTCACTTATTGAGACCATTACGAGACTATTAAGTCTCTTTTCAACATGCGTTCTTGTAGTGTATGTAGATAACCGTGAAAAAAAATGGTGTGACACACACTACTAGTAATACATTACGATTTCTCAAAACTTTAAAAATAGTTCTATTCTTAATAGTCTAACTACTGTTTAAAAAGGGTATTCTTAATTTATTATAGACAACTTATAATAGATTACGGTTTCTATGAATTTTAAAAATAGTTCTATGCTATTTAAATATACTACTGTTACAAGGGAGTTTTCTATTCTTATAATAAACAACTATGCAAAACAAAATCATATGAAACATACAACTTACAATAGAATACTATTTCTTATAAGTTTAAAAACAGTTATAAACTGAAAAACCAGACTACTGTTTAGAAATAGTAGTCTTAATTAATTTTTGACAACTGTGGCAACAAAAACTGTATTTTTAGATGAAACGGACTACTAATAAAAGATTACTGTTTCTCACAACTTTAAAAACAGTTCTACCTTTAGTTCATAGACTACTATTACAAAAGAGTCTCCTATTCCCATTAGAAACAACAATGGCAAAAAAAACCATATGAAACAGACAACTAGCGATAGATAACTATTTCTAATAAGTTTAAAACCAGTTCTAGACTAAAACACCTGACTATTGTTTAAATAGAGTATTCTTAACTTGTTATTGACAACTGTTGTAACAAAAACTGTATTTTGAGCTGACACAGACAACTAGTGATAAATTACTGTTTCTCGAAACTTTAAAAAGAGTTTTAAAGCATAATATCTAGACTACTGTTTAGTAGCTAAGAAAAATTCACAGTAGTCTGTTTTTTTTAAAACTACTGTGTTTCCATAAACAGTAGTTAATCAACAGTTGTCTGATACTGTTTTTGGCGTAGTGATATGCCCGTGGATATTTCCCCCGTATAGGTTGGTTCATCTTCTCTTTTTGAAAGTGGCTAGTCAATCCACTTCTCGTGGCATGGTGATGCGGATCTAGAAATAGTCCCCGAGAGAGAAGACGAACCGATCTCGGTGGCAATTGTGACACCAAACTTGGATAATAGTGGCTGCATGAGGTTTTAAGTGGTGACTCCAGTGGATGGTCTTTTGGTAGTAGAGAAGACGGTGGATGCGCATCTAAGCAACATCAGTGGCAACAATTAACTTTAACGGCGGCGAATTTCTACACCAACAATTTTTCGTTTACTGGACTGCAAGATGGTTGACAGTCCCAAGCTGAGGAGCTTGCGGTAATCTTTAATAAATGCAATGAAGAGAAACTAGGTGTTAGTGAGGCCTTTCAAGTGGCGGCCATCATCCACAAACTTCCACAATCTTGTGAAGACTTCCAAGCCGATCTCAAGCTCAAAAGAACTGAGCTGAACCTGGAGCAACTGCTCACGCAGTTAAAGAAGTACTTGATAGGCTTACGAATCGTGAAAAGATAACTTTTAGACTAAAGTTATTTCAGACAAACCGAAATACTTAAATCGGATAAGGCGTAAACGTTAAAGAACAAGTATGAAGACTTTCTAAAGACTATAGTCACTTGGACTTGTTCTTAGTTGTTCTACCGAAATAGGCCATAGGCATGGCTTTTTATAGGCATAATATTGATCAGAGATGTCTTTGAACTGAAAAATTGTGTCTGTTGTAGCACCCTAGCCCGCGTAATTTGAACCAAAGAGTTAGCCATTCGGGTTGCTACACATTTGGTATTCACATGCACAATATTTTAAAAATATTTAAAATAAAACATCCATGATAGAGAACACATTGGTTAAGTGTCCTTCTATATAATAGATGACTTTTTTTCGTGTCCATGTATCTCTTTTTTCTTGTAGTGTTCAAATTTTTTTAAAAACATGCCACAGATTAACCAGAGTAACAAAATCTAAACATTTTGGAAGCCTTTAGAAATAACATCCCACATTCTTGTAATTTAAGTAAACGAATTCCACAGAGTATTTTAATTAATACAACAGCTTCGGGGCATTCACCAGTGTCACGCCTCACAATGCTCCAAGTTGCTCTTTCAATCCTTGATCCCCTACCTGCACGTAGTTCATAGAGCGTGGAAATATCTAACGCTAGAATAAATTCATAGAATAGTATACATCAATGTATAATCACGCAATACTTGAAGAATCAACAAATATCATTATTCAACCGTATGATTAATCATCCTTTTGTTTAGTTCACATCCTACACATACTTCACTTCACTTGCCTACTAGGTTTTATCTACATCGTTCCAATGGGAGTTGTAAAATCCAAGCTCTCATCTGTCCATGCTCAAACTCCAAAGTTCTCGCAATAAAGGGGGTTGAGGCCCCGTTGGCTCTTATTAGGGGTCACTGACTTGCGTATGTACATTTTTAACCCTCGAGACCATCAGATCAGATGTGCGATGACACCCGCATGACCTTATTTTCTAATCTTAATTCTATTCCTGATTTCCAATAATCAATTCAAATCAGATCCGCATAGACCTACTAAGTGACCTATTTTACAATTTTAGTTTGACATATAATAATCACCAATTTACTAATAAGTAAATTTAGATTAATTTGTGATTATTAGCTAATTTTAAGGTCAAATTATAAATAAAGATAGAATTGCAAATAATTTAAAGATATAGGGGTCAAATATGGTTTGTTTAAAAAATTCAATCTTTATAAGAGGTCCTCTTTGGTGTACCTTGGGTCCATATTATTTTTGTGAATCTTCTCACATTAATTTTTTTTAGTTTTATTAATTTTAGAAAAATAAATACTTTTCTAAGTAGTAAAAAATTATTATTTTATTCATGGCATAACTAGGTACACCATAGAGTTTGTGTCATCGGGAAATTAAAGACACAGTTGGCTCATCTATTCCTCGATCGACCCGACCAGCATTCTTTCCGACGGTCCTAGACTTCCAGGCGCTAGCGCCGGCGTCCATCTCCTATTGTAGCGCGGCTACAATAGGAGCAAGGTAGTGGCGGAACATCTCAATCCCTGCGTGTTTCATCCCTTATTTCTGGCATCAAAACACAGCAACGAGGCAACACCAAACTGGACTGGCGGGATAACAAAGGGCACGAGCAGAGCAGAAGAATAAACAGAGGAGACGAAGATGACAAGAAAAACAGAAAAGGAGAAGGAATTGTAACAAAGGACCTTTCGTGGAAAGCAATATAATAATTAAGGACTAAATTATTGATATTTGATATGTAGGGACTAAATATGTAAAACGAACTATAACTAAGGACTTTTTATAGAATTTACTCAAAATAATTACTTTGCATTATCACAAATCCCACCTTTTCTTTTTACCTATAAGGGAGCAATGTTTGCGTGCCGATTAAGAAAAGAAAATACTCCACAATTCTAAAATCCATAGTATCAGGGTCCGTTTGGTACATAGAATTGACGAGATTTGAATTGGAATTAAAATTCTATAGATTTGAATTGGATGAAATTGAGTTCTCCTATTCCAATTCATTTTTTGCACTACTAATTCTAAATTTACATATTTTTGTACCATCAAACAATAATATTGGAATTATCGTTCTCAATTCCAATTTCATAGTTTGAATTTCATGTACCAAACTGAGTCTACTAGTAATTCATTTCTTATCTTTAATGCCAAATATCATGCTCGTATAAAATTTGTAATAATGCAAGTAATTAATGAAAATTGTGAAGTATTTTAATTTACTAGATCCGTTTTGTAACTTTTGTACGATATTATCAAATTCTGATTTCATCTAATATCACATGATAGGGGTACACCATTTTGCACACCAATTTCTTCCTTACACTTTTTTATTCTACATTTTTTATTCATTTTCCACTTTTCTTAGGCTATATGGTATTCTTTCCGCTTTCATCTCTCCCATTTTGCTAATTCAGTGTTATGTTAGCTTTTTTATGCAACTCTCCTTTCTTTCCTATTTTAACGATCTAATTCTTCTTATTTTCCTCATTCCCTTTTCACTTTTTAATATTATTTTTTAATATGTATTTAAATTAATTAAACTAAATATATACTCTCTCTGTCCCAAAATGTTTACCACATTTACTTTTTCAACAATCACGAAAACTTTTGTTTATTTGTATGTTTTCATTAATTATTTGATAAAATAAAATATTTTTGACACTTCTAATTTCGGAGAATTTTTATGTAGCTTTTAAATACGTAAAAACTTGATATTTTATCTCGTTTTTTGAAATATACTCCGTAGTAAATATTTAGGGGCAGTGGAAGTAAAATACAAATAAGTAGTACAAAATAAAAAAACCAAAACTAAAAATTTTAAAAAGGAAATTAATTTAAAACTTAGAGTGACTATAACCACACTAAAAAGGTGCGGTTAGACAAATTAGTATGCAGATTGGTGTATAGGACCTTTGCAAAGGGATTACTCCCTACACATATCTATCTCTACAAAATTTCAATTATTATTGTGCATTTATTGATAATCGTGCTCAAGTTTTTCATTAATTGACTCTTATGGAGTATTTATTGGTACATTCAATTCACATAAATTATAATTCAGATAATCTGTATACGAATTTATCTACTTTTTATACATTCAACAATCAAGTACTCCGTAATATGTAACTCGTAAAATTATATATACAATAATTTTATAATATGCATGCTCTGACTATATAAACAAAAAGATTAAATATACGCTTTTCTGCAATTTGAATTCCAAAATTTTAATTTTTTCATAGGAAATGTTATTAGCAACTAACAATATGAAAAATCCACTATTTATGCAAAATGCCAAGTTTATTTTAGAATAAACAAAATGGAAAAATACTAAATTCATTTTGGGATGGACCAAACAATATTTTGTTAGGCCTTAAAAATCTCGCATTTACAAGTTAATAAATACTAATTTCACCTTTGAATCAGTACTAATTTCAAATAAAATCAATGCTCATTTCACATAATTATTTTTTGAGTAAATGTTTGAAAACAAATTTAAAAATAAAATTGTGGGAAAGCACACATTTATTTTTTATATGTATTCGAAATATTCACATCATAAAATTAGTGTATGTACACTAATGAGTCATATTATTCATTGGGTATAAATAAAAATAAGACATTTTATATGCTTTATTGCTTTATAATTCATTTGAAGAGATATTAAGAATAAAATTTCGTTTTTTATTTATGAAAAGCATGGGACGTATATCAACTTATACTTGCAAAATATCACAAAGTAAATTAGCATTATAGTAATAATGATATTAATTAATAAAAGTACTTATAATAACAATATTATTATAATTTATAATTTAGAAATAGGCAGACATGGGAGTTTGGGACGCCGTATATAGTTCGATCACTGCTAAATCTTTCTATTTCACCGTAACCTACCATTGCTCGGTGTCCAAATCACATCGCCGAGGAACAAAGAGGTAAGCCATCCCGCGGCGGCGGCGGCAGTGGCGGCGACATATTTTCTATCCGTCTATGTGTGTTTGTGTGTATAGATATAAATGCAAACATGAATATAAATAAATAAAATATCTCTCTTTGCTTGTGTTGTTTTGCTATTTCGATTTCTTGAAGTGTAGTTTACCGGTGGGCGGTGTTTGCAGGTGCGAAAATTTAAAGAGGGAGATCTGATGTACTTTCTCGCGGATCTTAACTACACACAATACCATGATCGCATTAGAACATAAAGGTATTTCATTTTGATTGCTTTTTCCACTGAATTCTGGATTTTCTTTTCCAGATTTGGATGTGCATTGTTTTTAGGTTTTGTATTGGATAAATTCTTGTGTATGAGACTGAATTTGGATTGTGTGATTGGAGAATTTTGCTGAGTTGATCTGAAATTAAGATACACACAATGTCAGCCATTCCAAATATGAATTTCATCTCTGCAGCTTATTTCCACACTAATTGTGGTTCTTTAGATGCTATGATCATTCTCTTGTAGTTTCTCATACACTATATGTATAGCAGTGCACTCATTCCCTGCAAGGTTAGTGTTGCAGTTACATCACTGATGTATCACCACAACGTCCCTACCTAGGAAGTCATCATCACCTTTCTTCCCTTGATTGAAAAGTCACTATTATGATTTCCATCTTAAGGCTTGTAATTAGAGATTTAGAATAACCCCATTGAACCAAGTCCTATATCCCTCTATGAGTGTGCATGTAATTAACACTTCAAGTGGTTGATTTCTTGATAACTTAGTCACCATTCACACCGATGATACAATTTCTTGTATCCCTTTCATAAGTTTTTTTTTTAATTTTCTTTCATCACGCCTAGCATCTTTTGATTGTTATTTTTGGCATTTTTATTGGGGTTAAACCTTAGTTCAGTTGACAATTCCCGTGCCTAAAATTTTCAGTGAATTTTTTGATTTGATTTGCATATGGTCCAAAGGGTGTGATCAAGTATTCATGTGAAGTAACCAACGTCCTAGTATCTAACCTGGACCAATGTGCTGAACTTTGTAGTATCTTATCAAGGTTATGTGAGATGTTGAAAGTAGGGAAACTGGGAAAGGCTTCATGTCATGTTTGGTTGGGATCGTTGAGTTCTGGTATGGAATGGGAAAAGAAGGGCATTGAACCTTTGCCACCTTCCAATGATTGGTGACCCAAAACATTGATTCTTATAAGTGTTATCAAATACTACGTAAAAAAATAGTTCCTCTGTATCATAATTGATTTAATTGAACTTGCTATTGGAGTTGTCAGCGGTTAAACTACCCTATAATAGTGGGAACAACCGCTATAGGACATACAACCATAGCGGACAGGGTGGTAGAAAAGAAATCTTAAGGTTATTTTGTTGGTCCTGAATAGTCGCACTAAATGCTCACAACATTATGTGCCCTCCACTAATTCTTAGGAAAGGCAGCACTCACAAGTTACAACTTGCAATAAGTATATAACCCTTCCACTCCACTCACATTAACACTTTCAATACTTCAAGAATGTTGTGCTCCATTAGTAGTCTACATTCATGTCTTCCTCTCTCCCTTTTTTCATATACTCAGGATTTATCAGTATTTTTTTTTGTTTTAAACAGTTTTGAGTCAATATGAACTCGCCTTTTTAATACAACTTCTAATTTTAACGTCGCCTATGCCTATCATTGACGTCAGCTACCTGAACCAATAAAAATCTCTTTTGAAAATATCCATTCTCTATCGAGGCATTAAGGATTGTATATGTTATTTATTTATTTGAACATTTTTGTGACTAAGTTGTTTGGATTAGAACTTGCCCTTTTAAAAATGTGAAGTAAGCATGTTATGTGTGTAGAGGGACACTTAAAACATGCTCTTTTTTCTGAACTTAGGGATTTTTGTCCTTTAATTTTAATGTTATGTGTACCAAGTTCTGTTATACTTGAATGCTTGATTTTTTTTTGAAAATTTTAAGCATAATGTTTTGATTAAAAACATGATATTTATTTTTTCCCCAAAAAGCCACAAATATCAGTGGGTATTGGGGATCCGTGGTGACCTTGGGAGGCTGGGGTGGGGACAAATTTTCCCATTCGGTGGGCATCAGAAGCGGGGACGAGAAGCTTTCTATTTGTCGGGGCCGGAGCAATGGATTGCCCCCAGCCCGCCCCATTGCCATTTCTGCTTCAAATGTGCCTCTTTGATTTGTCAAATTAAACGTGTCCTTTTTTTGTTACAGTATCTCATTTTTTCGAAATGTGTGCTTACTACATTGATGTTGGTACTTCCGTACTCCATATTTTTCCTGATGTAATGTGCCCTTTGAGAGGGAAGAATAGGCACAACCTCATATGGAGGCTCTTTTGTCATTAAAAAAAGAAATCTCCATAGTCCATCTGAAATATATGGTGTTTCTGTCGTGCCACTTGAACTTTACACTTTGGACACATTTATCCTCAAACCCTAAGAATTTGATCCATGTTTGAAGCATGTCATTTGCATTTAGCATCAATCTTTTATAAAGATATGATGATGACTCGATATAGGTTCCTGTGATACCAATTATCCTAGTTAGATAGTCATTCTTCTTGTTTGTTTTGAGCTCCATTAGTTTTTGTCTGAACATGCTATATTTTCCAGGTTTCACGTTTGTACCATAGATTGCAGTATAATATATTTTTGCATCTGGTGTGTTTAATTCTATGTACTCCGTAATTTTATAAGAATCTCTATAAGCAACAAAATTACATAGAATTTTATTTCTATGTAATTTTATAAGAGTCTTTATTAATATCTATACACATAACACATTTTTAGGTTTGCCTGGATCATTAAGATTTGGGTACTATCCTCTTAATCCCCCCAACCAGAATGCCCTTCAACCTTCTCACTTGTGCTCTCTCATCTATGCGCTGCAAGTTACCAATCCACCATTCTGCCATCTCTTATTGTATGTATGAGAGATGGTGCAACTCCTAGCTATGAGCAAAAGGTGAAATATCAAAATTTGTCTATTATGGTACGACCAAATGCCCTCCGCAACAACTTCATTTCCATAACTTTCTATTTTTACTCGTTATCATTCTTAGTCACCCAAAACTCAAAGCCATACATCAAGCCAGTGGAACGGTTACCCCTATTTATTAATCTTTGAAGGGACTTCTTGCCACCTAGGTTGCACTTGGACAGGTGCTAGAGCATATACGGTAACGGAGACGGGGTGGAAAACGGAAATTTTAAAAATTACACGATGCAGGGACGGCAAGGATACAACAAAAAATTATAAAATACTAAATATAGAACTGTAAATGTAAAAACAATACTTAAATAGCATATTATAATCCAATGGCATAATGTACGACAAAATGGTGAATTACTAGATAGTAGGTACTATCAAAAGTATCATATTTGGAAATATAACAAATAAATAAACTTTGTTTTTTCATAATCATTTATTTAAATTTTTCCTACAGAACAAATTGTTCAAAAAACAGAAGTAAGAAATTAAGAATAAAAGATAAAAGAGGGCTAAAAGATAAAAGATAAAAGATGCAATTGACTACCCTCTTGTTGAAAAAAATGGTAAGAAAAACTCAGAAGTAAAGTTCATGGAGTACTTGTACGATTAGTTGAAGGCTGGAATGCTGGAACAGTAGCTTTGAAGAGCTGAACAGGAGAGGGAGGAGACCACTTCGAGACCCGTAGACTGTAGACCACTTCCAAAATTTCAGAAGGGAGAGCTGCAGAAGCTCCAAGAGGCAGCAAATCGCAGGTCCAAGGAGAAGGTCTGATACTCGATAGCTCCAGAGGGTTATAATTTATATTATATAGAATAAGTTTCCTAATTTCTATCATTCCACACATCTTATCCTCGATCCTCCAGAGCCATTTGCATTTGTCTAGGATTTCTCATTATGAACCATATTCCTCCTAGTGCGTTCACACATCCAAGTCAGCATCATCATCATCTCTGTCACTCTATCTTCTGCACGTGGGTGCTTTTTACTGGCCAACATTTTGTACCCTACAACTCCCTCAATGTTTACCATCTTACATTAATAAGTTGTGTGGTGTCGTCCTCAATCACTCTTTTCGGATGATTCACCCTAAGAACTTGAAGCTATCTAGTTGTGGTACTCTGCTTTTTAATACTGACTTTTTAGTGCATCCTCAATCTGCTTCTTGCTAAGGGTGTGTTTGATTTGATGGGAGGAGACTGATGGGGAGGAAAATGAAGGAAGTGTCTGGATGGGAAGGGGGGATTTTAATGCTGCCTAGTTTAGTTTGTTGTAAAGAAGGGGATGGGAGAAAAAGGATGGGAAGATGATTTTTTTGCTTGAAATGTGTTTGGTTAGCAACAAGTGCAATGTCATCTACAAAAAAGGGACACCACTATACACTCTCTTGGATCCTCTACACATTATCATCATTATCAAAACCTTAATGGCTATTAGTTGGCCTTGGTGACATTGAATTTATAGTGCTCATTAATGCTACAAAGCATAGTGACAATGTTTTACACTAGGTTCTCTTCTTGGCTCAAATTTATACTGAGAGAATAGTGAGTTGAAAATTTTAAAACCACCATCGCCATTTATTTTTTCCACATGCATTGAAAATATCACAAGACAGTGATGAGGTGTGACATTTTTTATTTTCTTGCACATTACATGATTGAATATGCAAATCATGCATCACGACATACTTCCTCTATCGCATATTATTTTCATTTACCATTCATATGTTGAACTTTTATCTTCTTCCCTTACCTATTTACTTCAATCATTTGTTAAAATAGAATAATCACGCCATCACTTGTTTTATAGAGTTTTAAGTGTAAATTCCCAAAAGTCTTTTGTAATATGGGGTTTTCCATGTTTAGTCCATTAGAATTAGTAAGATAAATCTAAGTCCTACATATTTTGAGACTTTTCCACGTGTGGTCCTCTGTCAAAATACTTGTTAACCAACCCTTAAAGTAGAGGGTAATATTGTCATTTCACTAAAAACGCGAGTGGCCCTCTATAAAAATAAATATTAAAAAACATCATTTTACTTTTGAGAATTTCTAGAAATGTACAATCTACTTATAAAAATAAGCTAGTGCTAATTTTACATTGGGATTTGCGAGTGAATAAATTGAAACATTGAAAATACTCTCCATGGTTTAGTAAATTAGCACATAATCCCTTCTTGGTCAACAGTTTAAACTTTGACCACAAAATATGGCAAAAATATAGTGTTATCATATAAATTTAATATTAATAGATTTATTTTGAAATGTAGTTTTAAAATATCTTATTTTATAATATGTAATACCTCAATTTTTGAAAACAGCTCCTATTTTGACTTTTGACAATAAATATTTGCAATTTGACTTTCTAACTACTCCCTCCGTCCCCCATAGATCTTCCCAATAGCCCTTTTTCTTTGTCCACAATAGATCTTCCCATTTCATTTTTTAAGAATTAAAATACCACAACTACCCCCACTTACTTTATTTATTACACCTCACCCACCTCATTTAATACACTCCATTCATTTTCATTAAGGGTATTATGGTAAACTTTCACCTTTTTTTAACTCTCCTTAAAAACCACCAAAAGTCAAAATGAGAACATCTTAGGAGGACGGAGGGAGTATATCCTTAGCATCGAAGAGAAAAGAGACAAATCACTTAAAAATATAAATTCAAAATAGATGTAGTATATTGCAATGACTTTATTTGGATATATTAGTCATTTTATTTAGAACTAGAAGTGTTGTTGAAAATGAAAAACTAAAAGAGGAGGGGTTTTGAAAAACGGAGGGAGTAGTTATATATAAATAGAGATATTAATGGTCAATGTATTTTCCATCATCTCCGGTGGAGCCAAAAGATCACTATTTTTTGGCTTTGGGGTGTGATGGAATACAAAAAAATAGATCTTTTAACTGTATGTGCTTCTTTAATCAATGAAGTAGCAGTTAGTCAATCAATGCAACTTTCGACGTTGAGCCAGGGGTCTCTTTGGAAACAGCCTCTCTACGTTCGAGTAGGGGTAAGGTCTACGTACACACACCCCAGACCCTACTCTTGTGGGATTTAACTGGGTTGATGTTGTAATGGTCTAGGGGTAAAAAAATTCCCCTCTACATTTAGAGTTAGGTCTTTTCCCTCCCTCTCTGATTAAGTATTTTTTTCTCTAAGCATATTTATCCTTTCTTTTTTAATTTGATTTTTAAGTTAATTGATTTTGACCTTTGACATGTAAGTTTTTATCATATTAAAAAACTTAAAGTAATTATAAACACGCATTAAATTAATAGACAAAGGAGCACTTCCTCAAAGGTAATTTTTTCTACGAACAGTTACTTGTAAATAACTATATTTACCAAACATTATTTTTTTAATAGCTAACATAACCAGCGAGTCAAAAAAGCTAACTTTATTAGCCAACACTAACCGCCAACCGCCAACAGCCAACTACTAATTTCGAAATAGGGCCATGGTCTACATTATTTCAATCACACATTTTTAATTTTTCAGCACCTTATTTAAACCAAGAGGGAAATTTTAAAACAATGGTTGTAATAGTAGTAGTACTTATTAATTATTATTATTATTATTATTATTATTAAGTTGTAGTGGTATTAGTATTTTATAAAAGCAATTATACTTCCGTGTTTAGTATTTATTCCAGCTGAAGATTAGATGTGGAATAAACTCTATTTATAAAGGATGCCCACTGCCCTTTTTTAATGAAATGATGAAACTACCCTCTATTTTAACGGTCAGTTAATGGGCGGTTTGACCGAGGACTACATGTGGAAGGGTTCTTAAATATGTTGGATTAGCTGATTAGCACTGGTATTACAACATCCTATACACTACATGTGGAATAACCTCAATTATAAAGTTTGGTTTTTTGGAATTTACTCAGCTTTAATGTAGTTAAAATATATAAATCTTACTTTCAAGGACCTATATTGAAATAAATTGAATTGAAAATAACTTTAGTCAAACATCGTAAACCGTAAAACAAAGATAATAATGGGACGGAGGGAGTATAAAAGAACATATATTCTAGATTGTAAATGACGGCCAACCATGTCCATTCATAAAGTTTATTTCAAGCTTCAATATTATACATCTTCCGTCCCATAAAAAGGGTGCACTTTAATGAATGTACAACTTTTAAATTTTGTCAAGGTATCTTAAAAGCACAATATATACCTATATTTTTTAACAATTTGAGAAATATGACTCTTTTTATGGGACCAAAAAAGTTGAGAAAAAACACCTTTTTTTGGACAGAGAGAGTATTAGTCTTCACTATATTAGGTAGAATAGTTATAGTATACGAAAGTACCTTGAGCATTGTACATTTGACATCTGAAAATGAGCATTCCTTATAAAGAAAAATGACCATACTTGACAACAAAATGAGCATTCTTTACTAGATAAATGAGCAAAATAAAAAATACAATCATGATTAGACTAAGACCATGTTCTCCTCAACTTATTTTTTTAGTTATTACTTATTCTTATTGGAATCAAATCATACCAGATGAAAAATAGCTTTAAATATAACTACATTTAGATTAGACATAATCAAACTAGATCATATTAGATCAGAACTAATTCCAATCAGATAAGGTGAAGAGAACATGGTCTAAATGAAACAAACATTATTCAAAGAGACAACAGGCATGTCATCTGAAAAATCACAAAGATAACATGGTTTTACATACATCTGAATGTATAATATAATTTGCCTATTAGGTGATTCTCCACAGTGGTTTTATAAATTGACACCTATGCAACTTATGTCAGTTATGTACAGCTTATGTTTTACTCCCTCCGTCCAGAAATTTTCTTCCCATGTTGACTTGGCACGCTTATTAAGGAATAGTAAAAAAAATGCAAAATTTTCAAAAATACACAAACTATAAACTTTTAAATCTTCTTTTATTATTAAAAAAGTATTAAAAAAGTAGATTTGTGATAAAATAGAAGGGTATTATTGATATTTAGCCTTAAAAAGCATACTAAAAAAGGAAATGGGAAGATTATTTCCGGACGGACCAAAAAGGAAAATGGGAAGAATATTTCCGGACGGAGGGAGTACTATATAGACTGTGGTTTCATAGCCAGTTAGACATTGTAAACTAATAAAATGTTAATTTCAATGCAGATACTATGCAGGTGAGCTGTGAGGCTCCCATAAAATGCCTCCAGCACAATCTGAATTACAATGGGACTGCCATAAAAAGCATCCCAGAGTTGAATGAAGGCACCGGTTCTAGTCCAGTTGGGGATACTAGTAGTGACTGCTCATTTGGCAGTGATACTATTGGCTCATCTAAACAATCTCCAAAAGAACCTGTTGAACATCATGCTTCTGGCTCTTGGACAGCCTTCTATCCAGCCTCAAATAATATGCGAATGTGCGCAGTGAATGCTTTTGAGGCCCAATTATATCCTTACTCTGTGGACAGACGGTTCCATTATGGCCCATTCAACACAATCCCAGGACATTACCCTTATGAATTCCAATTCCAAGATTTTCAATATTTTGTGGTCATTGACTTTGAAGCTACATGTGACAAGGAAAGGAATCCTCACCCCCAAGAAATAATAGAGTTCCCATCTGTGATTGTTAGCAGTATGACTGGCCAGCTTGAAGCTTGTTTCCAAACCTATGTGAGACCAACATGCAATGAACTTCTTAGTGATTTCTGCAAGGATTTGACTGGCATCCAACAGATTCAGGTGTGTGAAAGTGGAGCTTATACATGTTAATTATGTTCGGAATAATTAAGTCGGTTGTTATGTCATATGTGTCCCCCCCACGTCAACCAGGCTTATATTTTCAGGTCGACCGAGGAGTTACATTGGGTGAAGCTCTCCTTAGGCATGACAAATGGCTCGAGAAGAAGGGGATAAAACATGCCAATTTTGCTGTGGTTACGTGGTCAAATTGGGACTGTAGAGTGATGTTGGAATCAGAATGTCGCTATAAGAAGATCCGAAAGCCTCCTTATTTCAACAGGCAAGCCCAAGACTTTTCTGCTAGTGTAATTTTTTTAGACGATTTCTACTTGTATAATTAGCTTAATATGAATGCAATACTATTTCTCATGTATGTGTTTGATCAGATGGATCAACTTAAAGGTCCCTTTCCGTGAGGTTTTTGGAGGCGCTCGGTGCAATCTGAAAGAGGCTGTCCAGCTTGCTGGTCTAGCATGGCAGGGTCGTGCCCACTGTGGTCTGGATGATGCAAAAAACACTGCCCGCTTACTTGCCTTATTCATGCACAAGGGCATCAAGCTCTCAATTACAGATTCACTCACCTGTCTAGCTGCTAATGAACCACCCTTTACCTGGAAGCCACCACCCCAAGACCGTGTGCCCGTTTCTCCTTATCAAGCACAGAAAGTTAGGGACCCGCATTTCCCAACAATTCAGATGCATCCTAATTGCTACTGCGGGATAAGGAGCAGCAAAGGCATGGTCCAGAAGCCCGGACCGAAACAAGGAAGCCTCTTCTTTGGGTGTGGAAACTGGACTGCGGTGAGGGGTGCTCGATGCCATTACTTTGAATGGGCTTACCTTTGACTGAACTGATACCGAAACAATTTACCCAAAATGTCATGTAAAAAAAAAGTTGCGGTGAGTGTGTGGGTGCGCTTGGGGGGGGGGGTCTCGTTTTTGTTTCTGTGGAAGCAGAATGAGTCATGGGCTCAACATGGCCATGTCTCTCTCCTGCTTCCTGCAGAGTAAATATGGGGGTAGTTTGTGGTTTAAGGTTTTGCATCTTCTCAATGCATGGCAATGTGAGGGAGAGTGTCTCTCCCTTGACACATGCAATGGCAGATCCAACCTGTTAACTTATTGTTGACAAAATATAATTGGAAAAGGTAGATCAGACTTTTACATACCTAGCAAGACATTATATTTATATATTTTAATATATGTTTATTTAAATAAATAATTGTGAACAAATGCAGTCCAATGTGATTGAAGAAGTTGTTTGCTTATCTCAGCTTCTGTTTCCTTTTAACTGTTCTGGTTTTGGTTCTAAATTAAGCAAGAATGTTGTATCTGATCTGTGGGATGCATAGAGCTCATGTATATCTATTTATTTAAGGGTCTGTGGAAGGCATGAATTCATCTCTATTATGAATTTTGTGTTGTTCTTTTGAGGTTTTTGTGACACTTGGTTTTGGAGTTTGGCCATATCTCTTGTGAATGAGGGGGTTGGGATTGAAGGCTTTATGGGGTATAGGAAATGGATTTGGGAATAAAAATACAGTCAGACAATAGTATATGGATTTGAAATTTCCTTAAACTCAAACCTCACGCTCAAACCTCCAACCAAACTTTTCGTATTTTGACTTGATATGGATTTTAACCCATTTTCTTCTTGTCCTTCCCGCCATGTGAAGAGCCCGACGGATGTTCTACAACATTCGCCTTAGCCCCTCCATTTCTTCTAGCAAGCCCTTCCTCTCGGATCCTCAACCGCGTGAGCAGTTGCTCTAGATTCAGCTCCGTTCTCTTGAGCTTGAGGTCGGCTTGGAAGTCTTCCCACGACCTGGGAAGTTTGTGGATGATGGCCGCCACTTGGAAGGCCTCGCTAACGCCTACTTTTTTTTCATTGCATTTGTTGAAGATTACCGTTAGCTCCTCGGCCTGGGCGACAACAGATTTGCTGTCGACCATCTTGTAGTCCAACATCTTCCCGACGATGAACTTCTTCGTGCCGGCATCTTCAGCTTGATACTTTTTGTTCAAGCTATTCCAGAGCTCCTTGGCGAGCGTTGCACCGGCGTAGACGGGGTACAGCGAATCTCCCAACCCCTCGAGGATAATGTTGATGGCGAGATAGTTGTTGTGGTACCATGCTTGGTTCACCATCGCCACGAGGGGGTCGTTGGCTTCATTGGGCTGGGGGGATCTTGCTGCAAGTACTCAGCAAATCCCAAGACGGTCATAAAGAACATCATCTTTTGTTGCCACATTTTGAAGTTCGTCCCATTGAACTTCGGTGGCCTTTGAACCGAACTAGCGGGCACCGTAATTGGCCCAACTGCATTGGGGGTGTGGAGGAATGGCCCGTTAGTCGCCCAATGAGGTCCAACGAATGGATTGACTGGTGTGGGGAAACCCGCGTTCGGTCCTACGTTGACCGGGGTGGGAAAGCCCGCGTTCGGTCCAAAGTTGACCGTCGAGGCCGAAGCCGTAGTCGGTCCGAGAAACGGGTTCGAATTAACGACGGGGTGATCCCCCGTGGTTTCGAGCCCGGGAATGGGTCGAGGGGCCGACCAGAAGATCGAGCTCGGCATTGAAAACGACGTCATGGTCCCGGCCCCCACACTTGCCCCGAAGGGTAGTGGTGAGGACGGCACAACCATGGCGACCGAAGAGGTTTCCACCAGAATTTCGGAACTTATTCCGTTGCCGGAGGAACCCACGATGCCGAATCCGAACTCCATTATACTACCTTAAGATTGTTGAATATTACAGCAGGAAAAACAAAATAAAATAATCCGAATTTATAAAACGTTCGGATTTTACAACAAAAATAAAAGAAAATAAAACTTGGAGTCTTCGGATGCTTGAACGAACGCAAGAACACGAACGGACGGAGAGAGAAGAACGACGGCAGAGCAAAAGAAGGGTAAGGAAAGCGGAGTCGCCGAAGCTTTCCTTAAGGTAGTATTGCCCGCCTCCCGCACTGGCTAACGTGGGCAATCTCCTCCCAGGATAAAACCGCTTCGTGCTAGGTCTAGAGCGGTAGAACAAAGCACCGGCGAACGAGAATGACGGAGCTACTGCCGGAGAAGATGATCGGAACTCAGGGATTTTCAGGAATGATTTTTACTGCGGAGAGAAAGGATTTTCGAGAGTGCACAGGTGCTCTTCTCTGCGGCCAACCCCTCCTTTTATAGGAGAGGGAGTTGGCCCTTCGCTTGGACTGGACGGAATTTACGAAGAGTCGAAGACTCTTCATGCATGCATGCCTTATTCCGCCGTACACTTCGTTACACGCGCGTTTCGTTTTGATCTCGTAAAAATTTAGCCATGCCGCGTCTGCACGCGGGCGTGCCACACCCCGCCCCGCCCCCCCGCGACGCGCGCGTGCCAAGCCGGACGGACGGCAGCGGCGGCGGGCGCGCAAGGGGTTCTCTTCCTGTTCCTTTCATAAGCTCAATTCAATGCCTAAGCTTAAATATGAGAATACGAAAGGTTTAGAAACCGGTGTGGGACAAAGGCATTTACTCTACCTTAGTATTCAACTTTGAGAATTAATTTCTCATTCACCCGAGCACCGTTTATGGCGTGTAATATGTCAAGACGTTCGTCTTACTTACGAGATTAATCGTCCATAATTATTTTGGAAAAATAATTTTGTGGATCCAACCGAATTTATGTCCAAAAATGTCCAATTTACTTTAAAATTTCCANCGGCAGCGGCGGCGGGCGCGCAAGGGGTTCTCTTCCTGTTCCTTTCATAAGCTCAATTCAATGCCTAAGCTTAAATATGAGAATACGAAAGGTTTAGAAACCGGTGTGGGACAAAGGCATTTACTCTACCTTAGTATTCAACTTTGAGAATTAATTTCTCATTCACCCGAGCACCGTTTATGGCGTGTAATATGTCAAGACGTTCGTCTTACTTACGAGATTAATCGTCCATAATTATTTTGGAAAAATAATTTTGTGGATCCAACCGAATTTATGTCCAAAAATGTCCAATTTACTTTAAAATTTCCAACAAGAATATGACTAGGCAATGAAGGAAATGAAACAAAAAAAGAAAAACAAAAAAGAAACGTAAAAAAAATGGAAAAGGGAAACAAAATAAACAAAAAGTAATTTTTATATCAATACCAATTTGTAAATAAAGTATACATAAAAGATTTTTTATTTTAGAGTTACTAAAAAAAGTAAAATCAGTTATGTGAGGAAAGAATATGACTAGGCAATGAAGGAAATGAAACAAAAAAAGAAAAACAAAAAAGAAACGTACAAAAAAATGGAAAAGGGAAACAAAATAAACAAAAAGTAATTTTTATATCAATACCAATTTGTAAATAAAGTATACATAAAAGATTTTTTATTTTAGAGTTACTAAAAAAAGTAAAATCAATTATGTGAGGAAAAATATGACTATGCAATGAAGGAATGAAACAAAAAAAAGGAAAAACAAAAAAGAAACATACAAAAAAAAATGGAAAAGGGAAACAAAATAAGGTATAAAATTGAAGCAGCCCAGTTTCGAACCGTCTACACACCCGTGTTAGAACTGTTGTGTTTTGCTAAATATATAGTAAGACTATATTTTTACGTAAATATATATATAAATATATAGAAAAAAATTACAAAATTCCGTGGGGTCGCGTGACCCCATGTGACTCTATGTGGGTCCGCCCCTGGATAGGAACATTTAAACTTTTTACTGATGTTGTTTCTCACACTTAAACTTATAAAATTCAGTTTAGCTTCTCAATATATAGTATTTTACCCATTTAATTTTTTCACTCACTCCAACCATATCATATACTCCTACAGTACATTATAGACTTTTAATATTTAAATTATATATTTATAATAATATTTATAATTTATAAAATTTTCATAGTATATACTGTCTCCGTCCCATTTTATATTGCCCGTTTTGACTTTGAAACATATTGAAGGAAGGGAAAAAGTGGTGTTGATTTTTCAAAAATGTCTTACTTTTTTTACGGGGGTGGTGATGAATGAGAAGATAATGTGGAAAGGAGTGAGTTATTTTAGAGGTCGTTTAAGTATTTTACCCTTAAAAATTTATTATTATAAGAAACATGCAACTTATTTTGGGACGGATAAAAAGGAAAACATACAATTTAAAATGGGACGGAGGGAGTATGTTCTAAACTTATAAAATACTATTTTTAGTTAAATAAGTATAATGGAAAATTATAGATGATGTGAATACTATTATCTATATATATAGATGATGCATAAGGCATTTTCGATTATTCTATACTCCCTTCGTCCTAAAACTATCTTTCCAATTACTATTCACACGGTCAAATTTAAATCACTTTCTTTACCTATTTTTGCTACTTATTTGATAAAATAATATAGTTTGTCACCTCTCGTTTTGTAGAACTTTTAATGTAGTTTTTAAATATGTAAATTTTATGTTTTTATTTTACACCTAACAATCAAATAAATTGAATTGAAAATAAAGTTGGTCAAACCTCGTAAAAACAAACGGGAAGATGGTTTTAGGACAGAGGGAGTATTTAATAGAAGACCCATGGGAGTTCAAAAAGGTCTATTACACGCTATCATCTATCTCCCCCCTCCGCCCCCCATGGGATATTTGAATAAAGCATAAAATATTTTGGGACAGGAGGAATATTTTATATTACCCATTAGAGATGCTCTTATTTAACAATTCTTAACATTTTCAAGGCTTGGAGGAGGCCAAATGTTACAATGGACCTAAAGTATACGTCATTTTAGATGAATCTTCATATGAAAGTGGTAAGCAATTCAAATGCTTCCTAACCTAATACACATTTTCTTGGAAAAAGGAAGTACTTATGAGAGAAAGTCTAAAAAAAAATAGTGGGAATGTCCACTAAAGAAGCACTCTGAGAAGAGTGAGTTTGTTCACCCCATAAATTTCACTTGCTTTTCCATTCAATATAATTTCATCCATTAGGCAATTCACTCAAAAGTGTTACTTGAGTTGATAGTTCAAAAGTTTGATGATTCTTACCTTCTCTAATCTCATCGGTGGGTTTTCTGCGTTCAATCAATCTACGCAGAGTGAATAGGTACTTAAGGAACCCCCGAAAGGGCTGCCGTCCAATGGGTGCACGAAAGTGACGAAGTTGCTTTGACTACATAACCATGTCTGTGAATCCCCACACCTTGACTCGGCTCAAACCCAACCCGATTAATCAAACCCAACCCCGACAATTGAGGACATCTAAAATGACACTAATCAATTATGACACAAATCACAAAACCAATTCATTTGGAAAACCTACAAACTCCACTCGCAAAATTGCGGGTTCTTAGCTCTTAACCCCCGGTAAACCCCCCAGTCCAGCCCATCTTGACCACAATGCACTCACACATCCCTTCCAATTGAAGCCCCAAAATTTGTTGCAAAGGACTCTTGAGGCAAGCTTCCCCTTATCCAAGTCCAAGTGGCTCAAGTATGATGCTAAAAGAAAAGAGCCACTAAAACATATCCCACCCATGATAATACTTTCAAGGAGATTAAGGAAAATTTGAAGCAAACCCATGCAGGCAAGCTTATGTTATGAGACCATTATAAATAATATCTCCAACTCAAGAAGCCCAAAATGGGGCATAACATATTCATCAGCTTAAAACATCAGATACTAGGTGACTTCACTTTGTGCACAACAGTTTAAATAACACTAACACATTACTGATAACAAAAAACGAAAGTTCACCTCAAATCCATTCTATTCAATTATACTTGTGTTTCGCAATGAGACTCGGCTACTTAAATAAGAAGAAAACAAAAATTATAGCTCAACAAGAATTAATGTGATGAGATGATAAAAATGAGATGAAACTTATCATGGAGAGCTGCTTCTGCAAAATCAAGTGAAAAGAATGAGACCCAAAACTGGATAAGCTTCGAGTCACCCAATTCACACCACCCACTGCATCTTCTATAAGAGTAACAACATTATGCTGTAGTTTTCTTGTTCCTGAAACTCTCTTTCAGAGACGCGAATTTCTTTTTGCACTGGTTAACAGTTTTACCAGGAACAGCAGCTGCAACTCGTTCCCAGCGCTGGCTGGCATCCTTTGGAAAGGTTTTGAGAGCTTGAACCAAAGCCCGTTCTTGAACAGGCGACCATACATCTCCTCCTTCGGTCACATTTCCAGCAGCAGCAGTATCATGATTATCATCCCCAGTTGAGTTTTTGCAAGAGCCTGTGGTTTGGCTGGTGGGATCGCCTAGCTTGCTTTCACACAAATTGTTGACATTTGATGCCGTTGCCTCTGCGCCCTCCCTCATTGAAAGAGGAGATGCAATCGGCGGTGCTGCCTTTCTCCTGTCAAGAAAAGAGTCAAAAGCTTTGGCAGAGTCCGGCTTCTGGAGAAGGACTGTTTTTGTTGCCTTCAGAATCTCATCAACTGTCCTTCCTGTACCAACATACTCCGAGATAACTTCCCATCTGCGGGATGTTCCTTTGGGATATTTTTGTACTCCCTTCCTCAAAAGATCAATTTCTTCTTTGCTCCATTCCCTCTCATTTCTCTCGTTGCTGCTGAACGGGTTATGTCCATTAGTCACTGATGAAGTGCTGCCATTTTGTTGAATGTTGCTCTTCTCATTTTGCTTCTCCTCTGTGTCCGGATCATGTCCCATCGCCATCCTGAGAAGCTCTAGCTTTGCAATCCCTTCTGCTCCCTCAATACTATCGCACAAGTTCTTCAGCTGATCAAAATTAAGGGTGGCGCATAGATGCTCTATGTCGTCGCTTGTAAGGCCAACTGAGTGCTCAGCAAGTATAGAGGCTGAAATAGTGCGCAAATGGGCCCGCTCTTTGCGCAGCATTTTCTTCTCTTTCTCTCTCAACTTCTTCTGCTGCAAAGCAGCTTCAGCAGCACTTCTTTCTGCTTCCTCTTTTCTACGTCTCTCCTCCTCTGCGATTCTAGCTGCTTCTTCCTCCTGCTGTTTCTTTGCTTGAATCTTCGCATCCTTCTTCCGCCGCTTCTCAGCCTTCTGCTCCTCCTTCATTTTGATGATCCTGGGGTCTTTTTTATAGGCATTATCAACAAGCATGCGTAGCCTTGCATATTCCTCCTTCCGGGCCTTCTCTGACAGCTTCGCATTTTGCCTTTCCATCCATCTTTTATGATCACGGGATTCAGCCTGTTCGACATCATGATCGTCTTCATGCGGAAACTCCCGCCATGATTTAAAGCTGTACCAGAAGTCATAAAACTTATTCACTTCTTCAAATGGGGTGTCTTCCTTTCCCAAGGAAGGAACTGGTTGGTTGACAGACCAGCGACCGTTCCTAAAAAGGCAGGTCCGAAAACCTTGTAGAAATCCTGCGGGGCACAATCTGTTGGAACTTCATCATCGAATTCATCAGTGGAATCAAAAACTCTCCTTTTAACTGGGTCAATCAAAACTTCATACGCTTCTTGGATTGCCTTGAAATGGGTCTCGATTTCTTCTTTCTTGGCCTCCTTTGCAGCCTCAGTTACTTCAGCAAGAAGTAAAGAAGCCAGCTTGTCCGGGTGATGTTTCAGCGCAGCATCACGGTAGCTCTTTTTT